TAACCACGAGGAGGGCTGAAGAGCATGGCGATGGGACCTGCTACTAATGAATCCTATTACATTCCCTTACGCATTGAGGTTTAACGAGAGAGGTGGTAAGACGCCCCCCCCCGCCCACTTCCCCCCCTAATCCTGTATCTTACAAATCGTCCGATACTGAGTCCGACAATTACGACCCCCCTCCGCCCTTCCACAGAGGCAAATACGACCCCCGTCGAGGAATTCCTCGACCGATATTCACCCTGCTTTCCCATGGAGTGGTCTTCCTCTCATTTTCTATTAAGCGGATGATAAAATACTCATACATTCAATACGGGAAAATGGCCAGATTGAAGACCTCTGTCCATTACCGCCGAGAGAAACTTCTCCTTCGTTGAGTTGCCATTCCTTTGACGACTGTAGCTTCTTTCATGGACAATTTCGTACGAAATTGAAGGAAGATATTCGCAGGCTTTTGACTATGAACACACTGTAGAGGAAGATATTCGCAGGCTTTTGATCATATGAACTCTGTAGGTGTACAGCAAGGTTTACCTTACTCGCATGGATAACAATAAGTGTTCGGGAAGTTAACCGCTAAAATTGCATTTCTTCTCGAGAGTGGATTAGTTCTGTCATTCTAGAAAGCCCCTCCAAGAAGTTTTTGGTGTCCTTCAAGCTCATCAGCAAAAATGGAGAGCAATGTAAGTGTCGAACTTCGCTCCAGAGAGACGCCAGTGCACTTGAACATCCAAGCGCGAGTAGCGTCTCCATGCCATCAAGTCCCCGAACAGCCGCTACGGCTCTGCTCGATCATTGCTGATCCCGCTCCTTACGTCCCCTCCTCTCTCACTGGGCCTAATAGGACCTCTCTCGTCGACGATTTCTAAGTGGACAATTGAACATGCCTGCGACTGCTTTAAGGAATTCGCTTCCCGGAAAACGAAATTTTTTTTTCCAATCTCTTCGTGTCAGTTGCTCACTATAGATTACAACAGCTTAACGCTCGAAGATTCAGTTTCCAATGAGGAATAAACTTGCGAAAACAGCCAACGCGACGGATGTAAGGTAAGTCTGCGCGGCGCAAAGGCGGGGCATGCAAAGAGGTACGCCTTGGTGTGCTACATATCAGGCTACACAATGGAAAGAATCCGGTATAAAGTGTTCAATTTTTCGAGAATAGAGACAAACGATCGATAGAATAGGATGCATTAGAAGTGTGAGATGTCAGTGCAGTAAGCTAAAAGGTCAAAATGAGTTTCTAGTGGCAGCACCCCGTAACCCAGTGAAAGCCTTCCCAACTCCAACACTTGTAACGATGCCGGACGCTAATATGAACACGTAGCATTCCTTCGGGTTTTTTCGATCTTTTTTTACCACAACAATTGCAATTTTATTGCTTTTCGTTCGTGGAATGATGACGTTCGTGGATCGCGGAGCATAAAGCCAGTGATTTATAGGTAAGATAGAATCATGATTTCTTTCGGGAAGGATTTCTTTGACGTCTTCCGCTGTGTCGACTTCCACTCGAAGTTATTGCCTCGATGAGTATCCACGAAAAATGTCACTTGTTTAGTGAAGGGTCTCATTACAATCATGAACACGTCACAACGTTCCCTCAGTCCTAATTTTGGCATCGGTTTATTAAGCTAACTAAGCGTTGTGATTTCCCTCCATCCTCCTAAACCTTGAATATCCAGCAGCCGCAGAAAGTATCATGCGGAATGGTCGAAAGGCGGCTCATATGCTTTTGTGACAAGGCTGGTGCTATGACACTCAGGCCTACAACATTGACGTGGCGAGACCTGCTTGTTCTACACTTTTCCTTGCGTTTAATTATTCCCAGCTCCCTTACAACACTCATTGACATGAATGGGGCATTTTGCGGACGGACAGATAGACCGACGAGCATACATTCCTACAAATACACGAACAGATACGAACAGATATCCATAGCGACAAACCGACACACCAATTGGCGGCTCATTCTATAGGAGTGAGAATCTCTTAAAAGCACTCACCACGTCGAATTTGATGGGCTGGTTAGCCGACATCGGACAGTGAACCGCGAAAAAGCTTGAGCAAACCCGAGAGTGTCCTGTTTTTGACTTTAACCCATGACCCTGCTTCTTGTGAAACTTTGAAAGTTACAGGAGGCATCTGCGATTTTGATTGATCGAACGAGGGCCTCTTCGATGAGCAAGGAGTAGTGACATTACAAGAGCTTTTAGGTAAGCTTAGATCATAAGGTGTGAAAAACTGGTAATCGGTACGCTTCCATAGAAAGCAGTTTCAAAAATCTGAAAGTCCCAGTGGCGCCGGCTCGCAATGCTCCCGACGCCACACGTGCTCATTAGCGCAAAAGCGGCTCGTAGACGGTACTCAGTGTCTCGAAATGTTGGAAGGGACCATTACCTCAGTGCGCGCGCATCCTCGTCGTCCCTTCTTTTGCCATTTGCATTTGATTAACACCTTGACGACAGCGCGGCAACTATGTATGCCGCCATTTTCGCACCTCGTCGGACATTGTGGCAACTATGTATGCCACACCCATTACATTATTTTTTTCGCACATGCCCGCCTTCTGATTTGTGTTCATTCTTTGGGCCATACATAACATACCAAAAACCACGTGGCTCACAGAATGGCCAAATATTCTTTAGTTTGGCAGAGGTTTTCCAGACCTTACGATATGTCTGTTCAGTTCATTCCTCGTTTTCTTTTCATTAACGTAAACATGTTGATAAAAAGGAATAATAGAAGCGAATACAAACCTATTCGTATGGGAAGATATGTGTTTTTACAACCACGTCCAAATTAATTTTGGAACCACTAAAGGGAAATAAGTAAAATTTGCCTTTTCATGGCCATAACGGGCCATTTTGATAGAATTTCCATTAGCTACTCCCGATAAGTTAGACACACCGAACATTATTGAGAACACTACAGGGGAGGGGGCAATAAAAAAAGACATTTTGTCTCCACTTTCAGATGGATTTAAGCACACTTTGCTCAATTGAGACCGAGTGTTCCCAACTTAATATTGAAGAGCACATTTCATTATAAGAAAATCTTCATGTTGGCCACCCACGTGGACGGCAACAGAAGAATTTGCCCTGGAAACATGGTGCACTGGTCGAGCTCAATGGGGTCTTCGAAGGATTCTGTACCATAACGACCTTACTGGAAAGCTCGTTTCGAGGGGATTTGTATAGTGGGAGCTAATGCCTCTAGAAAACTATCCAACATTAAATCGATTCACGAAATTGCGTAAGAGCTTCAGGCTGAAGCTCTTACAGTAGACCTCCTTGAGCCTGACGACGGTGACAGATGACGTCATATTCTGAAGACGGTGAGGGCAGTGAAGGAGGGCCTGCGTTCACTTATAGAGGGACACTTAGGGAATACTCTGCTGAGGAACTCCCGTCAACGCCGGCAATCTCTGCGAAGAAAAAAGGGCCGAAGTCCGACATAGGCAAAATGTCTTTTTTTTGCCCCCCCCTGTATATGTATAAAATCTTGTGTGCATGGCAGACTCAACATCCACGGTTGTTAAGTTGGTGCGGCCGGCGTCTGCAAAAATCGCGCTTGCCAACGCGGCAAAAAGGATTAAAGCCGCGATGTCGTCAGTTGTTCTCTACTAAAGGAGAGCCGTACTACGAAAGAAGAATATCGGCGCAAGCTTCGTGTCTCAGCCCACACAAAGTCTACCCAGTTCAACAATCAATCGTCATTGACTTACTTTGTGATTTCACTTCGCGTATGGACGGAAATTCGGTGAAGCTCTTCATATTTTCTTACTTTTTTTAGACAAACTTTATTCATTATACCATGGCATGAAGATATTGAATTATTCCTGTATAATTGTATTGATCAAACAACGTTTTTGAACGTGTTGGGCGGAAGTGGTGTAGTGGCAAGTGGCACGCTTACCACGCGAGCGGTCCGGGGATCAAATCCTGGGTCGTGAGTCGCCCAACCCTTCCATCCCTCCGGGGTCGGTTAATTGGTACCAGACTTGTCTGGGAGGATAAAAACACTGACTTGTACATCGGCTGGCCCCCGCAAGTCATTGTATAGGCCACATCGCATTCAAACGCCACTACGAATGTACAAATGGAAGTAGAATGCGTGCCGCATCCCAAAAAGGGATTGATCAACGGCAAATGCTTTATCCTTTATCTTTTTATTGAACGTGTTCCTACCAGTTCAACTCTCCACACAAGGCGAGGAGATCTAGCGATATTGTACAAAGTAACTACATTTTTTCTCATGGCTGCACTTACCTAGTTTATATGCCTAGCACGAGGGCACGAATCCGTCTTCGTTAGTCTTTCATTACTTTTTGCTGGATTCAGAACAGCTTTCGAACCATCTCAAAATTTTGGATCCTAGGAACGCCTACTGCGATGCACTCCCCAGCAGGGTCAACCCTATAGTGGTACAAGTACCAGCGGGGGGGGGTCGTATTTGGTTCAGCTCGTGGTGGGTCGTACTCGCGGTGGTCGGCAGTGGGAGCAAAGCCCTTTACCTCGCACAGACCCAGCCATGAAGAGGAAGAATTGCAGAAAAGAAGCAGCAAAACATATAGCTTCGTTTGAAGAGAGTCCCCGTCCCTCGGGTTTGGGCCGTTTCCCATGGTTTTTTCTGTCTGCGCCACTAACCACCTCCTTCTTTATTCTAATGGGCTGCCTTTTCATCGTAAACTCCGGGTTCAATCGGAATTCGACTCACAGATAGACTTTGCGTCTGTGTGGCGTCAGACGTAGTGCTGCTGTTCTCTGATAAGTTGCTACATATTTCGAAACTTGTTTTGTGTTGGATCCTTCTCGAATCTTCATACAACTTTATTTGTTAATGACTTGCACGGAACTCGGTTTAGGACAGCGTGCAGTTCACAGTTGTTGACAAGTTAGATCATTACGGCTCACTATCAGCGATTTGCCAAAAACACCAGAAATTGTACCATTCTGGGTTGGTTTACGAGACATTTGGCTTTGCATTCCTCCCAGCTTGGAAATCTATTTCCGTTGCCTCGGCAACCGCCATGGTGGAACTTTCTGCATGTATTGTTCTTGAGAGTGTAGACGTAACTGAAATGAAACTCATTGTCAGGACCCCTGAAGCAACCCATCATTATTTTTTTCCAAATCTGTCCGTTCTAGGGTAAGCTTGTATGACGGGCTTTAATGAGAAAAAAGTTAAGATCGTACCGAGGGTGGTGACACATCACATAAACGTGTTCAGTCTGCCTAAATCAGCTTTGTAAACACCCGAGTGCTAAGCTGCTTACAGAGGGAGCACTATTGATGGCGAATCGAATATTGTGCAATAGAGGCACGGGCAACCATTTAAATAGGTCGTTTGGCGGATTTTCAAATGTAAAAAAGCTAAGTAAAGTTAAAATAAGAAAATCTTGGCGTTTGACTCCGTGTTATGACGAAATTTCGTACATCTCTTTCTCCAGGTGCCGTGTAGCGTAATGGCATGCTGCTTACCTCGCACGGTCCGATGGTTAAAATCGTGGACCGTGCGTCGTGGGACAAACGAAACCTGTTGTAGGGTGTTATCGATCTATGGTTATTAGACGTGTTGTGACTGGTTTGCAAACCCGCGCATTGTACGTAGCAATATAATAATAAGACTGAGATGTTTTTGTGTGTTGTCGAAGTTCATTGCTTCAATAAATCTTCTCGTCTACTGGTGCTCTTCGGCAGTCAACTCCACCGTCTACAACAGGAACCAATTCTAACTCCGCTATTGGTTGATCGATACCAGGCTTCTGGAGGATAAAGCACTGACCTTTACATCGGCTGACCCCCGCAAAATCATTGTATAGGCAAAATCGCATTCAGTGCACTACGGCACTACGAATGTACAAATGGAAGTAGAATGCGTGCCGCATCCCAAAAGGGATTGATCAACGGCAAATGCTTAGGCCTTTATCCGTTATCTTTTTTCCATACGCTTGTAGTCATATACAGGTGTGGCCGAAAAGCTTAAAGAGAAAGAAAGCATACGAAACCACCGATTACGCTCCGTACAAAGAACTCCCCTTTTGAGCTGCATTACATTTTGGGAGAGAGAAGGGGTGCGTTGAACGAGTTTCACGGAGCTAATTCTACTTGCTCTAAAGCCAATGACATGAGGTTCGCAATGGAACCGCTGCCTTAAATGCGCCGGCGCTTTTCACGTGGCGCTATGTGGCAAGCGACAGCGGTGACAGCGTGCGACGAAGGTGTAGTTTGCGGGTCGGACGACCTTCATTTTGCGCCTTGTCCGCCACCGCCCTTCCCTCACCGCGGCAAAAGGAGTGCACATCAACGCTTGTCCGCCTGTCTACTACTCCCGAGATGAAACAGGCGAGCGCGCCCAATCCCGGAACGTGCTTTTATCGAGCATTCTGTGCCGATCCAAACAGGATTTTGTGTTCAGTGCTGGTCTCTGACAATGCCCGACACAATATCGTGGTCGGATGGAGTTTCATCGAGCTGTGCTGCTCACTTTTGTTAATACGTTCCATCCAAGTGCAAAATGCAACCCTCCTGCATCGAGACTTCACCCAACCCACTAGCTTGCACTGATTCCTTGTTTTCAATATGGCATTCACTGAAGTCATGGACCTTGCCTATAGAGACGTTGCTAACTTGCAAGCTGGCACGCAAGATGGTAGGATTCTTACACTTACGATTCCTAGGAAATCACCCATCAGTGATCCGATCTAATACAAATTTATGCAGCAGATTCAGGCTGAAGCAATTACGGATGGCACCTTGAGCTCGTCGGCAACAACCGCCCTCATCCTTTGAAGGCAGTGAAGACAACGGACAGGGGATGATTCCTCCCACCAGAGGAAATTTGAAGAATATCTTTTCATCAGACTTAGACTGAAACTTTCGTGAGTGGCCTGATGGGCGACATGCCACCTCTGTGCGGCTGAACTCTTTGTTTGAACAAAAGCACATTAATATGAACTACTACACTTGCTAGCGATAGATGTTACATAACACGCACAGTGTTGTAGGCTTGTGTGTTAGGTGTTGTAGGCTTACAGGTTTTCAAGTGTGATCTACCGTGGTCAACCGCAGAGCTCAGAGCACCTTTCGAGCGCTAATTTCTAGGATTTGATCTGATGTCATTACGGTTTGACCAGGATATTTGACCAGATCAACTACTATATAAACCCCACACTTTCATTAGATTGTCATTGTATTCTGTTCGTATTGACTAATGAATTTTCTCCGTTCGACTCCACTTCAACTAGCGAAACATACGGAAAAGCGTTTGAGAAAGCGCTTCACTTTCTGAATGAGCTCATTGTGAGGCCTTACCTTACATAAGAATTAGCTTTGCATACTCCCCTCACGAATGGATACTCCAAGCATCTAGGCTCGAATGTGAATCCTGAATAGGATAAAAAAAGATTCAAGCAGTGACTCGAAAGAAAACTCACAGAGGAAGGTACGACTTGTTTCAATGCTTACCAGAGTTCACCAAGAGCGTGACAAAGAAGAATCTCAATGCGGTGCGTACACAAGCGCTCATTTGCCTAAAAATAAATGAGCTTAATGAGAGGTACGTAATATCTGCCCTGTTTTGCTCATCTAAGAAGAACATGAGCATGCAGCAATTCGCTCCAGCAGTGGCCGTCTTACTTACAGACTTGGATCGTTCCATTTCTTAAATTTAGGACGGGGGACGGCTTAAAAAGCTGCAGGATATAAACATGTATAGTTGACCACGCATCAGTGACGTTATTTTTGGCCATAGTTCATTACTTGGCTGTCTTCAACGCGCTTTGGAGAGAAGCACGGGTTTCACTTGAAACAGGCAGGAAACAAAGTTGACTCCGCGATGAGTCGATCTCAAAGTTGTCACTACCACCCACTCCTGCCTGGAGGAGGTATCGTTACCCGGCCAGCCTTTCTGTGATGGCTGATCTAATGTACATAGTTGAACAAGAACATAGACTTTACAGAACTGCTTACGTTATGGAATTTGCAGAACTCATCAGAGCTCACCCTAACTTTTTCCTAATTTTGTTTTTTCCATGCTTCCCTAAACGAACCAGGTGATGCTCCCACGAAACGCGATCGCCCTCTAGCAATACTAGCACACCATCCTATTGTTAAGCTTGTGACAACCTGCCTAAAGTGTGTGACACTTCTAGAAGTTGAGGTGGGACGTTGTGTTAATAATAAGACTGCCGAGCCTACAAAAAGATAAGAAACATAGCGCACATAAACATAGCGCTAAACACCACTGGCCGGCAGCATAATACTGTATACCAAGGTACGTTGTTGAGGTATCGCCTCGAATCCAGCAACAAGGTTTTTGGACCGTGTTGTCAATAGAAAGAAATTTCATTATCCTGATGAGTGAGGATACCGCTTCTTATCAAACTATATCTAACTATAATAATCCTGAAGGCAAACAAATTGCACTTTGACCGATCATCGCAGCCCACCTAGATTGTGCCACCCCAGAGTTCACACAGTTAGCCTTGGCACTCCTATGCATCACATGGAGGCAAAGAGATGGTCTATCAAAATAAGCTTGTACAAAAGTTTACGCAAGCGGCCGAAGGGTGCAAAGTTCTCCAATTGCAATGAAGCCTACCACGGCCAACACAACCCTGTGAACATCCTGCATTGGTCGTGGGCTCAAGCAGTCAGCGGTCGAATACGTTCTGTTGAATGGGAATGAATTGTGTTCCCGAAGGAGTCTCTTTGGCGGATTCATGCGGATTTCGAGCTGGGCTCTGGGATTCAGATGAAATTCTGTTCCTTGAGATAAAAAATCTGGGATGAATTGTGCTTTTGCCGAAAAGGTCACAGGAAAGGAATAGTTGCAAGTGCTTATCATGACTAACAACAAGTGTGAGACCAAGAAGAATTTCAATCGGCGTTATAGTTGACGATCGCTCATTTCCCTAGATTCTCCAAGTCCAGTAAAGATTCATTGAATTCAGCACTGAATTCGTCTTATTGGCAGAAATTGTAGTTAGTTGCCATTTTGCGTGAGAGCGGTCAGCCCCTGCCCCAACAAATTGGGGTCGGTCTATTTCAAAAAATTAGGACCAGTAAGGGCTTCAGGAAAGTTGATGATCGTAAAGCAGTGTAAATAAATACGCATCGCAAACTTGGTTGTGTTTGGCGGTTCATTAATTGCAGTCTTGAACGCGTTTTATGAAAGAGGACAGAAAGATCAGAGTTGACAGTCCCGCGCTCGGCGATTTTAAAGTATTAGTTCCACTCACCTCTTATCAAGGAGGTATCCCTACGATCGCTCAGTGTTTCAGTGATGGCTGATATGGTGTACATAACCTAGCCTTACAGGAATGAAGCACATTTTGAAATCCGTCCAAATTAGTCAGAGCTTGCCCCTGCTTTTTTGCCACTTCGTAAATTTTTGGTTTCGCTATTTTTTCATAAACTTGGGATGGTAAAAAGTCCTGAGCCGATTTTTCGAAAGCTCTTGAACTTTTGCTTATTGATCGATACCTAGAATCTGCTACGTGATAGACTATCGCTGTCGATCATACTTCTTCGCAGTAGGTATATATAGCCGGGTTGCCTTATTTAGCTTTAATCATGAGACGATTCACAAGAACATTTCGATGATCATCTTCAACATGTGTTGCGGCACAGGAGCAAGTGCAGCCGTCAAACAACATCAGCAGCGCATTGGGAGGGTCACTTTATACGCTTCGCCAGAGCCTTCTCTTGTGCAGCCGAAACTTTGGATACTTCGCTTGACCCAGCGCGATTCTGCCCTTGTGTTGCCACGCGGTGTAGGGTGCAGGCCTCCAAACTTGGATAATTAAACCATTTATCAACTATAAAATAATAAATCAACAAATAATCAATCGACCATGATCATGAAACTCAAGTTTCACAAGAGAAATTTCGTTTCCCACCAAAAATCTTCCCCTTTTTTGCCTAGGTTCCCCAGAGCAGACTAAGAGAAAAATGAGCACATTCTTCTTTCCAGTCAGCAGGTTTTTATACTGGTATGACCGCATTCTTTGGATTCCATTCTATCGTCCGTTCTATCGAAGCTTCTGCGAAAATCATTGGATTACGTGCCAACTGAAAGATAAGAGCGATCTCGCGCATTCCAGCATAGAAAGCTGCCTGGGAAAGAGCCTTCTGATCAATATAACGTGACACGCTGAAAAACAAACTCCACTCTCCAGTAACCTTATGATCATGCTTCATAATTCCCACACAGATCTGTTTGATGGTCGCTCTTTGCGACAACACCTCTCCCACAGTAAAGCCAAATTCCTGGTTCAGGCTTCGGAGGAGACACGGCTTCCGAAGGCAAGACAAGGTTGGGAAGCCCACAAAAGTGGAAGACTCCACCGTTCTCGGCGCTGTCGAAGAGGATCCGGAGGTTAGCACCCGCAGCCTTGTGATAAGACTCGGGTGCACCCATCTCCAGTCCTCTCCAGAACGCCCACGCCATCAGGAAATCGCCAATGTATCCCTCATGTCTTCAGCCGATATGCATGCGGCTCACCTGGGTATCCGTGCCCGACTCCTAGCTGTCGCCCTCCCTTCCTCCTCGCTCCACCAAACGCGAGTTTTGTTTAAGGCTTGATTCACGCGAATATTAGAGTTGGGCTTCTATACGATTCTAATAAGCACCACGCCGTGTGGCTTCCTCGAGGAGACCACCCAACAACACAAGTAAAGTCAGACCTTCACGCCAGGAAGTCATCTTCGTGCTGTCTGGGAATCGCATGAAGTATTAGGATGGTAAAAAGTCCTGAGCCGATTTTTTGAAAGCTCCAGAACTTTCGCTTATTGATCGATACCTAGAATCTGCTACGTGATAGACTATCGCTGTCGATCATACTTCTCCGCAATAGGTATATATTGCCGGGTTGCCTTCTTTAACTTTAATCATGATGTCGATTCCACAAGAGCACTTTCGAGCGATCATCTTCAATGAATGGCGCTGCGGCACAGGAGCAGTGGGAACCGTCAACATTATCAGCATCGCATTGGGAAGGGACACCACTTCCATCATCAGTGCCAAGCTCTGGTTCGCAGGCTTCGAAGGAGGAGACACGGCTTTCAAAGAAAAGACAAGGTTGGGAAGCCCACAAAAGGTAGAAGACTCCACCGTTCTCGGCGCTGTCGAAGAGGATCCGGACGTTAGCACCCGCAGCCTTGTGATAAGACTCGGGTGCACCCATCCCACAGTCCTCGGTCCCCTTCACGACCTCGCCACAGGAAAGTGGTGACTCAATGGATTCCTCATGTCTTGACCGATAGCACGCGGTTCAGGCGGGTACCCATTTGTCAGTTTCTCCTTCTTTGCCCGCACCGAAAGGGGTTTTTGGAAGGCGTGATTACGAGAGATGAGAGTGGGGTCCTATACGATTCTAACTTCGTATAA